TCAAACAAAGAACAATATTGAATCCACAAAACACAATAAAATTATATTGTGGGCAGTTCTCAAATATCTTGTATAAATATATGTTTAACAAAAATCGGGGAGAATAGTGTTCTACTGTCGAACAGGTAGTGTATTGGTTGACATGGGTGGTTCTAATTCATGTATTTTAAATCTAACGTCAGCCCATTTTTGGAACATTGAAATGTGATAATTGCCGTGTAAATCTTTGAAGGAGAATTTCAATTTTTTACACGTAAGTGCACATATTTCTAGAATATCTGGTCGATCTGTAAATTTTTGAGCTGCACCTATATCCTCACGACATTTTCTATTGCCACATAGAACTTTTCCTTAAATAAGAAACAAATGAAAAAGGCAAAATTAAATCGATCAAAATATTGTTTGTACCTTTCACTTGTATTTCTTTGAATATTCGTTCTTCAGAAAAGCAGTCGATTTCTATTCGTTCGGTGAGTTGTTGTTGTCGAATAAAATAACTATTATTTCGTTTGCGCATCCATGAAAGTTGACCCAAATAATGATCGCATGAACGACATGAAACTTTGCCATCTATGCTTTGTGAATCTGCTAAATTAGATTCAATTATTTGTTTCAATTCCGCTTCGGCACGCCATTGATTAATAATTCCATTCTAAAACAAAAAAAAGAATATAATAAAATCATTGCCACTTTTACTGTAATAAAAAAATACGAAATATTTCATTAACCTGCACTTTTTGAAGATTAAGTTTCAATTGATCAGGTGATATTTGTTGCCAACTATTAAGTGCTTCTAGCATTTCTAATTCTTTCAAACGAGTTGTCATCTCTTTAATGTGATTTTTTGAACCTATATAGATAATAAAATGAAAAGCATTTTTTTATAATTGATGAGTTTTGCTTTGTTTTACAAAAGTTTTTCTTCTAACGAAAACTTCGATATACCTTCATCGACAACTAGAAAAAAAGAGCTTTTTTCTGCTCGAGCTCGTCCTCTTGATTGAACTGTGCCAATTTCATTTGAAACAAATTCATAACGTATAACAAAAGAACATTCCGGTACATCCAAACCTTCTTGTACGATATCTGTAGCAATCAATACATTCGACAATCCTAAATAATTCATCATTGATTGATAAGACTATTCAAATAAGTACAGCAAACCTTTTCGAAAATTTTTCAATGCTTCATCTTGTTCACTAAGACTATTCTGATAATCAACACCATTTTGACCGACAAGCCAACAAGGTTTTATAATGTTCTATTTCAATGGTTTATTTTAACTGTAATTAACCGACTTACTTTAATATCTTCACGTTCATTGAAATAATCAAACATCAGTTTTGCATAAAGTGTACGTGATACTAAAATTAATCCTAAAAAAAAAAGAAAAGATTTTTCTCAATCATCAAATGCGAAAAGGATAAAAATTTACCTCTCGCATTGTCTCTTTGTTTAATAAGTTCTTGTAATTTTTTAGTCAAAAAATCAAGCTTAGGATTTGTTAAATAATATTCACTTTCTTTTAATCGATCGACTATACTATTTACTATTTGTAGACAATAATGATGAATTTCAGTTTCAATTTCTATTGGCGTTTCTTTTTTACTAAAAGAATCAAGATGAAAGCATTCAAACTTTGTTGATAATAAGAAATATACTTGTAAAATAGATCAATTTTCTTGATAATATCATTTATTATTGATTTCAATGGTAAATCAGTTAATGCATCGAGTCTTTTGACAAACATAATCATGTATTTAATCAATATCACATTAGTGAAATTATTCTTTATCTCTGCATTATTTTTTTCTTGACCTAATTGTTGTTCATCGGTTGATACATCAATACTTGGAGAACATTTAGATCCAATATAGCTTAATAGAGATTTAATTACTTCTTCTAATTTTTTTATATACTGATCAAATGACATTGATTGAACAGCGAGAATTTGATCATCTATTGGTCGATGTATTTTTTTATTCAATTCTTCTATATGTTCTTCTTTTTTTACAGTTACAACATTATGACAATTGAGTGTTGCACATAATTCATAAAGCTTATTGAGAGCATTATTTCGACGCTTTTCAACATCTGATAATTCTTCAAGTACTAATTTTGGATTTGTTAGTTTTGTTCCACAGGAAGCAGTAAGACCAATTATTTTCGGTTGATGTTCCAATTGATGATAAACTAAATATTGTTCCATAATTTTCGAATATGGATGATTTCCAATGCAATTGTGACATTCATCGAATATTAACAAATCAATTTGATTTAAAAGAATAGTTTTATCGATTAAACAATTCAAAAACTTTTGTGGTGTACAAACAACAATATGACTATATTGAACAAATTCATTAGCTGTTGAATTATCATCACAAGCCATAACACGAAGATCGCCAACATCGCGTATAGCTGTTACTTGTTGATCACGAATTGAACGATGAGGAACAAAGAAAAATGTTAAAAACTGTTCATCTTTTTCTTTTCGTTTCTTCATATAATAATATTTTATTAAAAGTGCAGCTATGTATGTTTTTCCTGCACCTGTTCGTAAACTAACAATCGAATTTCCACTGTTTATAACAGATTGAATGAGTTCAATTTGAAAATCGAAAGGACGACGTTGGATGTTCAGTTGTGAAAGATATTCATCAGACCATACTGGACTTTTTTCGAAAGGTTCTAAATCTAAACTTTTGTAGTCCTGAATTTTCTCAATAGATGAACTGAGATCCGTTGTAACAACGTTGTAAGTACTTTGTTTTGCGATGACTGATGATGATGCCATGTCGTCTTTAAAAAAAAATGAATATTATGTCAAACAATACCGTATTCTATCATTGATGATAGAACTAGGTATCTGATGTAGAAAGTGGAAAAAAGTTCAGAAATATTGTATTGCTGATACAGTTCTTAGAGTCATGTTTAAGTTTAAAGTGTATTTCTAGGACTACACAGATTGCTAATGCTTACTATATAGCTTTTACTTGAACTACAACCATGTACGAATGATTTAAAAATCTTACCTTCATATGAGTCTTGCTAGATGAAGTAATTTAACTGTAGATATTTTTCGTTATCTTATAGAAAAAAGGTAGACAAAAGAAAATAATGACTAATATTTGATGAATATCTTACGAATAATGTTACCAATACACGGATCTAATAAAGATAACAGTTTCTATGAAGTTTTTCCTTTATGTTAAACGCAGCTGTGTCTAGATCTTATTGCAGAACAAGTATCAAGAAAGAAAACTATGTGACGATGGCAATGCCCGATATGAATGGTTTACAGCAAAAATCCTATTGAACTATCTTTTTTCTTTTTTACTTCACACAGTGATTTTGTATGCTTCTGATATTCATTAGACAAATCCAAAATGTATCGTACACACTAAAAATGTCACATTGACGTTATTAGTTAACTAGCGAGAACCCGTGCATACTGCACGGCAGTGTTTTTTTTCTTTAACGTACGATCTCAAAACGTTAACCTTTCACTCGGTAACAGACACATAAACACTTAACATTATGTACACAGAAGCCCTACGACGTGATATCTTTATACCACTAATAGCCCATGTCGCCTTACGGCCTTATAAGCTTATCCCTTTATAGCCTTACCCCACTATAGCCTTTCCCCTTATAGCCTTACTCCCTTATTGCCTTACTCTTTATAATCTGATCCATTTATAGCCCTCCTCCCTTACAACTTTACTCCCTTGTAGCCTTACCCTTATAGTGTTCATCCTTATAGTCCTCTCCCTTTATAGCCTTCTCTCCTTATAGCCTTTCCTCCCTATAGCCTCACTCCTTATAACCTGACCCCCTTGTTGCCTTACTCGCTTATAGCCTTATCCCCTTATTGCCTTACTGCTTTATAGACTTATCCCCTTACAGGCTTACCCTTTATAGCCTTACCTACTTATAGTCCTATCTCTTTAGCACCTTGTCCCTTATAGCCTTACACACTTTACAGGCTTACTCTTTTATAGCCTTACTCCCTTATAGTGTTCCTCTTATAGCCTGGTCCCCTTGTTGTCTTACTGCCAAATAACCTTATCCCTTTATAGCCTTACCCCATTACAGCTTTCCCATTATAGCCTTAATCTCTTATAGTCCTACCCCTTATCATCTCGCCGTATTATAGTCTTATTTCCTAGAGCGTCACCCCTTACAGTCTGACCCTTCTTATAGCCTTACTCCCTTATTGTCTTATAGCTCTGTCCCCTTATACCCTTATGACCCACCCTCCTTGTCCTCTATACCATTATACCCTTAAGCCTCACCCAGTTATAGCTCTACCGCTCTGTAGTCTTATCTCTTTATAGCTTCACCCTGCTATAGCCTTACCCACTATAGCGTTACCCACCTATACTCTTATTCGACCTTTAACCTTTGACCTGGCACAGACAGACACTGAATATTATATGTATAGAAGATTCTCTTACTACCTGCAAAGCCTATAGGCACTCTCATATAATAGCTCTTGAGGACCTATGGATATCACCATAATATAGCCCTTGAGGACCTATGAGCATCCAATATAGTAGCTCTTGGAGCCTTCCCCTTATAGTCATATTTGATCTTTAACCTATGACCTTTAAACCGGCACAGAGAAACAGACACGCACACACTGAACATTATGTATATAGATATTAAATATTACAGTAGCTCGAAACATTATCCATCCACCTTTGTAGCTTTATAATGTTTTCTGTTCTATGACTCGTAAGTACATCAATGAGTTCTTTTTCAATATCAGAAGTTAAATCTCAAAAACAATGTCACTTGGTGAATAAGTATTTAGTACATTTCGATATATGTTTCACATCGTAGCATCACACATCTTTTGTCGTACAAAAAAAATACTAACTTGAAACTTTTAATATGCGATACAGAAATAATCAAATCGGGGTTAGTATATGAAGCGATTTAGAATGTTCAAAAGCCTACTCATGTTGAAACGGCTTATGTATGACGCGATATGTATCTAGATATTGTATTGATGAACTATATCTAGTATAATCGACATATTTTACAAATCGTTGTAATATATTGCTTTTCATGTCAAAAAAAAAATATTACAATAATCTATCTTATCAATATTATGAATAAATTCCTTTCTAAACATTTAAACATCTACTTTTTAGATTAAAATTCAAAACATGCAGAATAAATAGCATCTTGTCCTTAAAGCATTTGAACAAAGATGTGCAAAGAAATTGCAAAGATCGTATGCTTCAATTCTCCTCCTCTTTTTATTTTTTGGTCGAGTGAGCGTTTTCTGTGAGCGTAAGTGGAATAAATATTTTTTTTCGATGAATCAATCAAAGTTGAGATACACACATTATACTATTTATCGATAGGAGAACTCCATCAATACATGGCAACATGCTCATAATCATACTACTGACTGATTATTGAGTCATTGATGTGATTTATTATATTCTATCAACTTTTTTCACAGTTGTCGTATATAAATCCCTTGTTTCAAAAGATTAGTGGTTATCGCTGTACTTGTTTCTAGTATTTTACAAGTATTGAATCTTAGCGAAGAGTATATCCACTAAAATCAATTGATCGATCTTTCTGTGAATAAAAAATAACATGCTACTAATAATCGGAATCAAAATAAATTGCTTATATAAATAACAATAGATTATGAGAAGAGTAAAAAAAAAACATCAATCACTTCATTGTCCAGGTCGATCATTCTGGTCACCGGATACTGGAGGAACCGGAAGGAAAGACTCGAAAAGATCGCCGGTTCCCGCAGAAAAACACTGGAAATCAAAGAAACATGGAAGCAGTATTCCGGCCGGTTCCTGCCGGAAAGAACTGGAAGTAGTTGGAATCCACCAGAAAAAAGTCCGAAAAATTTCTGGCCGGAATACTGCTTCCATGTTCCGTTCATTTCCGGTGTTTTCCTGCGGGAACTGGCCCGTACTTCTCGACCTGGGTGAAAGACTCAAATCGGCTTATATTTCAACAGCATACATTGGCTATTATTTCTAATTCTTCATTCTTTACAACTCAGCTAGATTCCAGTAAAACAGTGGCGAACTCTACATCTTACAAAAAATAAGTTAATTGAAATATATAACTTCAGTTATCTATTCTTATGTCTTTCATGGTTTTTATTTCAAAATCTTTTAATAATTCTGTTTAATTTTTCCTAAAGCTCAATTCTGCCTGATATATATATACAGGGGTTCCCAAAATTATAAGACCCCCCTACAAGTTTGA